GCCCCAGTGGAACCCCGAGCCCGAAGCAGAAATCACGGAGGCCGGGGTCTTCCCCTGTGGGTGTGATTCCTGCCCCAGGTAAGGGCGTTTGTTCAGTGTCCTCTTCTGGTTAAGTAAAAAGCGATTGAAAAAGGCGAAGGACTCCTCCCCGCTCTCCCAGGGAGGCAAATGCACAAACCAAACACACTTTAAAATGAAACCATCGATGAGGCCATCAAGCCCCCACCCCCAGCTGCTGTGACGTGGCTTCTGGAGACCAGGGAGGTGGGTAATTGATAGTGAGGGGGACGCAGGGGCCCGTGAAGAGCGTCTGGCAGTCAGAACGTGTTCCCACCTGCTCAGCTGCCCACACGCTCGCGTCCACTGACTGCAGAGCTAACTGGCACCAGACAGAAGTGGCCCCTGGTCTCAGCAGGCAGACCACACGGTACCAGTAAGAGGCTTGGTGCTCCCCACCGCGAGTCTGCGGAGCTCTGCTCCTCCCCACCGTTGGAATCCAGGCAGATCCTTAGGAATTCCTTAGTTCTAGGCTGTGGGGCTCCCGGGGCAGGGAGCGTTGTTTACAGGGAGGCAGCTGGTGGTGCCATCCCAACCCTTCCCAGTAGTCTAGACATTCCCTGCCCCCTAATTTTCATTGAGAGAGGCCTTCATTTCTTTTTGTTTTCAACCCCTAGTTATTGAGCTCCAACCCCACGTCAGGCAAGTGAGTAAGCGTGAACGGTGTCTGCTGTGGGGACACACTGGAGCGTGTGCAGCAGTGCACACACAGAACACACGCACATACATGCACACCGCACACAGCTATATGCAGAACACACATACACTACATATGCACACCTCACACAGCTATATGCAGAACACACATACACTACATATGCACACCTCACACAGCTATATGCAGAACACACACATACACACGCACACACATATATACACATGCATGTGCATACACACACATGCAGAACACATATGCACACATGTATACACGCATGCACAGCACACATGTGTACACACATATACATGCACAGCACACCCATATATACGCATGCACAGCATAAACACATATGCATGCACAGCATAAACACACGCACACACATATGTACACATGCACAGCACACATATACGCAGAACACACGCACATGCACACACATATATACACACGCACAGCACATACACTTATATGTGGAGGATTTGAAACGTTTGTGGAAAGAGTTCACTATCTTCTAATTCCACTTTCCCATGAAGTCCTTGAAGTCCTCTTGTACATTATGGTGCTGGTGAAGAGTATTGAAAGCATCATGGCTGGCCAAAGGACAAACCACGCTGTCCTGGAAGGACGGCCAGCGTGCTTCTTGGAGGCCAGAGTGGCCGTCGAGTCCCTGGTGACTCACAGTGACCTCTGGGGCTACGTGGGATGGCGATATGGACAGAGGCAGACAGACATCAGCTCAGACGCCGTCGGATCAATGCCAACTCATCGTGACCCGATGGGGCACAGGACAGTGCCCCTGTGGGCTTCCAGACCGGTTTAACTGTCCATGCCGACCACACCAATAGCGACCCTACGGGGCAGAGGAGACCTGCCCTTGCGGGCTTCCAAGCCTGGACTTCCTGACTGGCATATAAAGCCTCTTAGCTCTCCTGTGTGATGACTGCTGGTTTCAAACAGCTGACAGGCTCACCGCTAGTAGCCCACGGTGCACACAATGTATAGCCCA